AAGGGTATATGAAAGGGATTAAGAAACTTTTCACATACGGTAAAAGGGTTTAGTCTACGTTGCACTTTCATAAACCCTTAAAGGGTTTATTATTCTACCCTTTTTTTTTACAGTGTGTTTACCAAAAGATTAATTTGTACCGAATGTCAAAATATTCTGTTCCATAATAATAAAGTATGTAAATATTGTGCTTCATCAGATAGCAAGTCGATTGCCACTGTATTTGATATCAATCATCAACTTGTATTAGCACGAATGCTTGATCGTCTAGTACCTGATATTGAACGTAATCGACAGCAGATTTTAATTGATAGTTCATCACCACAAAATAACAATGATATAATGTTTAACAAAATCTATCGTGATCTTCAATATAAATACAGTTTAACACCATTTGTTTCGCTGTTGTTACACTTGGATGGTATAGCCTTGAGCAAATCCAGTAAACTTAACTTATGGTTGTTCAGTTGTACCATAATTGAACTACCTGTTGAATTAAGATATCGTCGTTGTAACACAGTAGTTCTATCTGTTTGGGTTGGTTGTCGTGAACCAATAATTGATGCATGGTTAAGTGAAAGTCTACAACAACTAAATACCGTAAAAAAGATAGGTACTGATATATGTTTTATTATAGTGATCATTAATATTTTAGAAAATTTACGAAATAAGTTCTATCCTATAAGAAAGAAATATCTGATGAAGTCAATTATGTAAAAAAAAATCCTTCTGAGGAAAGTATCATCGTCTTAGTTCTCGAAATCATATCGCTATAAAAAGTCTGATTGGCATTTTCTGAAATTAATTTGAGTAATAAACATTATACGAATAGATGGAAACTCTCTTTATTTTATAAACACTATTACAAGTTTCTATTTTAGGTGTTCCAATTCGGTCTGTTTTTTCTTACAAGATCGTAATATATGGACTGACGGGTGACTGTCCAGCTATTAAACTAGCGACCAAGCATGTTAATCATCAAGGTTATTGGTGTTGTTGGTTTTGCTATACTAAGGGGATTCACGAAGACAAAAAGCGACAATATTATTTCGAAAATAAACTTTCTCTTCGTTCTTCATCCGAGTATTCTTATTATTCGAAAGAAGCGCAAAGAACAAATACGAATATTTTTGGCCATCTTGGTGTTTCACCATTCACAACTGTTTTTGATGTGCCTTTACCTCGTTGTTTGATCATTGATTATATGCATGTATCTCTCCTTAGGCATACAAAAGCCGTTATTCAATATTTGTATAAAAATTATTTGAAACCAAGAGAAAGGAACGAATTGGATGAAAGTTTGATTAAGTGAAGGATTAGAATCTAGATATTTACACATGATTTCCATTCAAATGAGAATAAAAGATGTATTTTCTGAATTTCACAAGAATTCTAGAAGCATCATAACTAAAATAATAGGAGACTTCTTAGTAATATTTTCTTTCTTATTCGTTTTTAATGTTGATAAATTGCTTAAAGCTCAGTGCAGAAGAATCTAAACACTTTACATTCAGTTATTATTTTTATGCTGATGACTATCCTTTTTGTTTCTTTTATCTCAAAGATGAAAAAATCTAAAATTAATAAACTTTTGTTTTTTGAATTTTTTTAAAGTTATTGCATGGTCCTCGAAAACTTGGTTCCGATACTGAGCTTGTCGCTAATCAGTTAATCAGTATTTATTATAAGGTTCATCCATTATTTTACAAAAAAAATTCAGAATTATGTATTACACTTGCATTGCCACTTAGCAGATCAATATTATCTGCATGGCAGTTTATCAAATCTTGGTGTTTTTTGGACAAGAGTTATTTTTAGGATATTTTTCAAGAGGTCGATCTGGCACACGTAACTTGGGACAAATCATAGTCAACAACTACAACGTAAATATTGTCTTGTTTGTTTTACAACATCATTGCAAAAATTTTACATTTAAATTTCAGGTTGACTTTACGCTTTACAACCAATCACAACAAATTTCAAATAATCAGTCTAAAAAAATCGATGGTTTGTTCGATCCTGTGAATATTTCAATAACCAGCTCTCTTCACGATACTCATAAAACTTTATGTAACTGTTCTAACATCGATCGGTGCATTCTGATATATCGCCGTTATCGAAAATGTAAAATGATTTATCATTCACTTTTATACAATAGACGAGGATCAACGACGAGTTACTTCATTCAATATTCAAAAGATGGTGATACTTTTCTGTTTGGTTCCATCGAGTTGTTTTTTATTTGTAATAACCAAAGTTATGCATTAGTTCATAACTATGGCGAGAAACATTTATTTACAGATTTTTTTTCTCGTCTGATTATCATTCAATGCTGTTAAAAACGTTAAAATTCTACTTTTCGTGATGTTATTACAGTAGATAATATCACAAACATGTGCATTATTTTCAGTTTCGATGATTACATTGTAGCAACACCTCTTTCATCGTCATACGAACATGACTAAATCATTATTTCAAAGAAAAGACCTAACTAGCCTGATTCTCTCTCGCCTGGATGTTATAAAATAAATCAATAAAGAAGACTAGCACATTTTCATCTTATCCGCCTGGTACAGCGAGAAGAAACGACGAAATACCCCTGCGCTAATTTTTTTTCTCTTTCACCTGACTATTTAAATGAACTGCTTATTTAAGAATTAGATCATTTTAAATTTTATCCAGACAAGTAATGACAACACGTCGTCAAGTGGTTCCTCGTCAAATATATACTCCTACACAAACTACACCTCCACCAAGCCATTATCTAATCGTTTTTCAAGATACCGATTCTTACCAAATTGTTGCACGATCAAGTGTTAAACAAGTTCAAGGTGATTATGCTTTTATTACAATTCATCATAAATTGATAAAAGCTAAAATTATTCATCAAGGTATTATTTTCACATTCAATTTGACTATTCACTTCATCTATTATTTTTAGGTTCTTTCGAGGATTGTAGTACAGAACGTTCGCGATTGACACGAATATCACAAACAGAATCGAATTCAGAAAATGGTACTATTATTATTACTTTTTTTTAGTGAAAAAATTAGAACTTTATGATCTTGCAGATGATTGTCAACGTGAAAGAATAAATGCTAGTCATTCGTACACAAATAATGCTATGCATCCCAAAACTAATCAATTAGATTGTCCACCATCAGTTACATCGAAATCACCAGTTCCAACTCGTAATGCATCACTTCGAAATATTTTTGATCAAGGTTAGTCTTTTTTGTTATTCAAATAAATTCTATTCTGGTTGTTATATATGCGTAGAATCATCTAATCAATGTATATTATATCTCTTTTGCGTTAGTGTATCATTAAAAAGAAAAGTATAAAAGTTAAATTGTTTATATTTATCCGTTTTGGTATGAAAATAAGCATTGTAACCATTTCTTATTACTGAAAAAGTTTCTCAAATAAATTATTGAGCTTTCAGATAAAGATAGAGGTAATACAATTGAATTTCTTAATCAATCGATTGAATTTTCATGTAATGATCGAACACAGCTGTTTAAATTTATGTAAAGCCTAAAATTGCATATAATTCGAATTCATAGATGATGAAGTCCTTACTGATGAAGATTCATTTTTTGATTGTCGCAAACGGCCTTATCAACGATCATCAAAAAAATCATCCAAGAAGAAAAAGGTTATTCAACGATCACCAATCAGAAAAAAACAGTTTATCATATTCCGGTGAGTTGTAAATGCTTTTCAGAATTAAAAAAATGCTATATTTAGACGATCAAGATGATGACGATGATTGTGCTGATTATAATTGTGTTGATAGTGATGATCGGCAAGCAATGCTCGAAATAGGTCAATGCTTTTTATCTAATGCCATATTGAACAACGAAATTTGTATGTTTCCTTGCAGATTCGTTTGTTTTAGAAGACATGAATGCTCGATTCATGGAGTTAGATAAAAAAAATCGCATCGAGTTCATCAAAGGTCGATCAACAGATCCAAAAGCTATGTACTAAAATCGATCGATTGGCTTCTCAAACTAATGTTGTAAGTTCTTAACATATAAGAATATTTTGTTGTTGTTTTGTTTTATAGAAAAAGCAATTTTAAAGAGCTTTGTTATTTTAAAAAACACGCTATTTATTCATTCAAATGAGTCGTTGTTAAAAATGTTTTCCTGAAATAGTATTTTGATGGATTTAAGTTTTATTTATGAATCATTTATGTTCTTAAAGTATTTTCCATATGATTGATAATAATTTCTTTATAGAATATATGCGCGCTTGAACCATTTATCGATAAATCAGGTGAAAAATTTCCAAACGAAGTGGTAAAGCTTTTCTGTATATCTAAATATATATAAACACTTTTAAAATCGATCAACTTTTCTGTAACCTAGATGTTTGGAAGCATCAATCTTCTTGATATCATGGGTACCGATTATGGTGATTATACAAGAGAAGTTCTACGTAAAGTTTTTACCGAGGATGAACGAAAAAATTGTATTTTACCACCACGAAGGGAATATTTAAAGAGAGAACCACTTGACGAAGATAAATATAAACTGTGCATGAGTATTTGAATATAATTTTTTATTTCTGAAAATAATCAGTTCTTTCTTTTTTTAGATGCTGTTCGCATTAAATTTAAACTGGATTCAGTCAATTTTGGCTTGTTTTATAAATCATTATTAAGAAGAAAAATTACTGACTTTTTGATCGAAGAAAGAAGACGAGATACTCAAAAATTAGCTCGACAATCATTAAAGGAAAGTCGATCTGAACAACCGAACGTATTGAGTTCTGATTGACTATATATTCAATTGAACATTTGCTTTTGTTTATTTTATCATTATGTATTGTATTAAGCATGTATACTATATGTCCATAGTATGAATTTTGAAATAAAGTTGTATTGTATTTGAAAGCACAGTTGAAAAAGAGAAATAATAATATTTAGATATAATTGATTTCTTTTAATAACTATTAAGTATAACAAATAAATAATTAATATGAAACCTATTTCTATAGACAACAGCATTTATTTTAAAAAAAAGATATACAATCGTATACGATCAACGCATGAAATCGTAAACAATAAACGTAAACCATCGTAAGCGTCACGGCGATTTACGGTCGTAATTCCATAGGCAAGGAATACGATTAAATACGATCGTTTATGATCGTAAAGAACATCGTGCACTGTCGTGTAAGATCGTGTACAACGAAGTATACGATAGTTTACGATGATTGTAAGGATAGCCTTGGGTCAGCATGATAAACGACAGTTATCGTTATTTTCAGAAGAAATGACTCAGAACTCAAGACTTTCAATAGGAATGGTCTACTTTTTTTTCATCTGAAGTGTTTCTAAACAGCTCTCATCTTTTTTAGCATGAAAAAATTCTGAAAAAGATATTTTAGAAACGTTTCAGGTGTTTTCCTGACGTTTTCCCTTTGTCTGACGATATACCATAGGCGTTCCGAAAAAATCAACCATAACTCGATATTTTTCGCTAGAAGGGTCATATTGTTGATCAAAAGTGTTTTCTAGAGCATACCGGAAGTTTCGACTGAAAAAAAATCGAAAAAAAAGACCTTTCCAGAAAAGTGGCTGGGTCTCCATATTTTCACCCATATTTAGATGAAATCGGTTCCCAATATTTGGGACCGAATCGAATTAGTACAGCTTCGCCGAATCTTTTTTTCGCCGACTCCAACTTCGCCGAATAAAAATCTTGACCGAAAAATATCGAATCAAATTTGATCCATTCTAGATATAGAATTTTATCCTAACTAACTACTTTAATAGTGACTTGATTAACTAACCCCATCTGACTTAGTAACCATCTGTGTTGATAACCCACACCCACACCCTAGGCAACTGACTTGGTAGCCATCTGAGTTGATAACCCACGCACACACTCACGCATACACCCACACACCCACACCCACACTCACATCTACACCCTCGAGAAAATACAAGCGACAGCGTCGTATGATTATATGGCGATCTTAATTGAAAGCATGCCAATAAAGCTTCAGGGATATATATTCTATCGTATCATAATTGACATACCTATCAATATGAATAATTTTCGTAGCGTTAGCGTTTATCGCTAAGGAATACTAACTTATTATTAACTTTTGGTTAAGTGAATTGGCATCTTCGGAATTTCCTTTTTTGAAATATTTTGCCCGAAACCTTTTTCGTTACCTGTTACATCCTTAAAAACCGAAAGAATTTTTTTGTTACAATGGGATTGTATTAAACAACAGAACGCAGAAACTATCACGTGATGAAGTGAATAGCATGCTGGCTAATATTTTTCGCGAAAAATAATTTTTATTTAATTCATTTCTTTTCATTTAACAAATAAATAAAAGAAGAAGAAGAAAAGAAACATATGACGTAATCTTATATTTTAGCTTTATTCTTTTCTTTGAAGCGAAAGAGTAAAAGAAAATTTCTTTTTTTTATTCATTTATTTCAAAGTATAGAAAAAGAAACGAACAAAGAAGAAACAATTCACAAGTCTTATTTGATAGAAAATCGTTGAACACGAGCATTACCTGCATCAACGACATAGAGATTGCATTCTCGATCGAAAGACAAACCAACAGGGAAGACGAACTGATTTGCTCCTGCTCCTCGGCCATTTCCACCCACAACTACAGTGCCTTGTTTCTTGTCTTCTTGAGTCCAACGCATTACACGATGATTCCCCTCGTCTGCTACATAGAGTGTACCCAACGTATCAACGAAGACTCCACTATGAGAACCCAATTGTGCAAGAGCATTCCCTGCGCCTTGTCCTCCAGCGACAACAATACCTTCTTTTGCACCTTCCACCCATTTCATTACACGATGATTCCGCTTGTCTGATACGTACACTGAATGGTCTCGATCGACAAAGAGATATGTCGGCCAGTTGAGTTGATTGAGCTCATCACCTCTGCCATTACCACCAGCTACGAGAGTGCCATTCTTCTCATCCAATTGATATCGTCTTACTTCATGTTTTTCCCAGTCAGAAACGTAGAGATATCTCTGCTCATCCATAGCGACTCCATCACATTTGATGTTATCGATGAGTATTTCACCTTGTGTTGTACCACTACGACGAGACCACCGTACAACTCGTTCATTCCTTTGATCACAAATAATGAGACTATCCGTCTCTTTGTCAATTAATACATCAGTTGGACGATCCAATTGATGTAATCCATCTCCTTGGCCTTTACCACCAGCAACAACTTGTCCATTCGTTGTATTACCGTTCTTCCATTGCATGATACGATCATTCCCGTAGTCAGCAATAACCACTGTTTGATCATCATCAATGAAGAGACCATAAGGCCAGTGGAGTTGATTAGTGGCATACCCACCCCCGTGACCTCCAGCAATAGTCACTCCGTTCTGTGTCCATTTAGAATTAGCAGGAATATTAACTACAAGAGAAAATATATTAGAATAAAAGAAGATCTTTCTAGAGTATAGCTAGTATATGAAATAATTTCGAAAGTATTGAGTAAAATTCTTTGAATAGATCATTCTTTTTTATTAGAAATTCCTCAGAATAAGTTTTTTCTATACTGAAAAATTATTCTATAGAATGAATATAGCATTTATTTGTGCAATTATATCATAGTGTCTTGTTAATGTTTAAAATGAGATTTTTTTGCATCAAAATAGTGCTATATAGACATTTATCTTTTGCTTTGTTTTTTTGAGACAAGCGAGTATATATTTTCTATGAGCAGACAAATATATAACGATTTATTTCTTATATTTTTCCTATGATCAAAATATATTTCTGCTAGAATCTTTTTCGTTCACTTAAATCTAAGTAATTAGAACATTTCCTATTTAGAAAATTGCACATTTCTTACTTCTAGAAATATGTTTGTGTGCAAAGAAGTACGTCCCTCGTAAAGGACGAGATTAGATAGGGGTTATATGAACCACTGGACGTCCTCTCATAAGTCATAAAACTAATGGACATCCTTGTATATGACGACACATAATCACCCACTGAACAATACGTAATCGTTCCCTGCATCCTTTTCTTTCTCTATATCATTTTCTCCCTATACGTATATCTTTTTGTCTCTATGTATCTTCTCTCTCTCTCTCTCTCTCTCTAGTATATAAACTCGCGTTATATGTGAAATAGACAGCAGTATAAGAGCGGCAGTGTTGGATAGTATTAGAACAGTAGAAAGGCCGTTGAGTCGAGTTCACTTCTAAATAAGTCAAGTTCCAAAAAGAAAGTTGTGCTTTGTAATACGTACGGTTGTATTTGGTTGTATTGAAAGACAACACATAGAACTCATTTTGGACAAGAATAAACTCATCATGTGGAATTGTTGCTAATATTATACATACAGTGGCTAAAATATATAGCTGACATTGACCTACACTTTGTTGTCCATCATCCTATATCAGGATATATACGCAATTCTATATATCTCGATAGTTATTTGAAGAATATTTACGCGACCTGAATATTTTCCCGTTACAGTTTGATCTATAATGAATAGAGCAATAGAAATATATTGGTATGAGGAATAATTCTCATTTAAATAAAGTATAGAATAACTTCATGAAATATTATATGTAATTTATACAAAAATGATTCAATCGCAAACACGTAGCACAGTATAAATTCTGATTCTGAAAATGGTATATGTAAGCTAAACCTTCTAGCAACACATTGGAGCAGTTAAAATAGAATTAAAAGTTGTCTTATTTTTCTATAGTCAATAAATGATCCAAAGAATGAGGGTGTGGGTGTATCGCGAGATAATTAATCGAAATTCTTGTAAGTAGTACACAACCAAGAATACTAATGAAAATTGAATCGATTATCTAATAATTTTATTGGCATAAATAATTTGCCGAACTCATCGAAATGTAAAATAAATATTTTATTATTATTTAAAAACAAGCAAGAATGTTTTGAACAATACCAACTTGTAATAATTTATTCAATAATGTGTTTACAATAAAACAAGATAGCAATATCGTGCTGATAATAATAGGGTGCGCATGTTTCTCAATACAAGTCAGATCTAACTATTTACATTCTAATAAACTATTTCTTCGAAAAACAACTCAACTGTTAACTACTCTCTGGCTTATAATACTGCCCTTTCCGCCAAATGTATCGTGAGCTTATATACTAGCGAGAGAGAAAAGATACACATAAAAATTACGTACTATATTTAGTTCTCTTGATGTCCATCTGTTGAAATCCGAAGTAAATGGAAATGTAGCAGCACACGAATATCAATTTTTTTCTAGATCAACTATATTGTGCATGTACGCAAAAAATTGTTCAATAGTTACTAATTATTTTTGAATCAGACTTATAGATATGATTAATGAAGTATTTACTAATGAAAATTTAATTCAAATAATTTCTTTTCTTGCTTATTTTCCTGAGGGAAATTATGATAGATCAGAAAAGTTTTTGGCAAACTATTTCTTCATCAGCTTTAGTGCTGGATTATCGTTGATATTGAATTATCAA